CCCAAAGTCACCTAGCTAGATTTCATGGCTAATGTGGGACTAGAAGTCCCAGTTTCCTGTGATTGTCCCAAAATCACCCAGCCAGCTTTCATGCCTAAGGAGAGACTAGAACTCACCGTCTCCTGGTGATTGGCCCAATGTTACCCAGCTGGCTTTCATTTCTAAGGTGATACTAGAACTCACCATCTCCTAGTTTTTGGGCCAGCACCATAATTGCTACACCATACTGGCTCTTTTCTGGACAATCTTTGAGATTATATATATATATATAATATATATGAATTAATTTGTCTTTTTGCTTGGTTCTCTCTCTTTCCTCCCCAGCTGTCTAAAATTTGGGGTTCCTGTCCCTCATTCAGTTGGGGTGGGGGGTTATTCCAACTTCCCCCCTCCCCAATATCTCCCCCCAACTCCTTGCAACCGTGGTGAGTAGAAGAATTATCTCCACGAAGGAGCTTTGAGCGCCTGGAAGCTGGCAATATTTTTAGGGCCTTTGACTCAAAGAGAAAGTAGGAAAGAAACCCAGGGATGCCACCCACAAGGGGAAAATTTCATTTGCATTACAGAAGCCTTCCCTCCCTGTTTTTTTTCTCCCCCTTCCTCTCCTCTCCAGATGAATTTATCACTTTTTCAGAACGCCAACTATCAGTGACAGAAGAAATTATGTTTCCTTTCATAGCCCAATTCTTCTGATAATTGCTCTTTTAACTGCCTCTTGCTTACAGATGTTATCTTGTTCTCTCGCACCACTGGCTAGCGTCTCATCCCTGGCCGAGAGGAGAGTCCTATTAATAATGGCTTGGCTTCCTTGCAGAAAATGTTTTTACCTCCTTATAGAGATGCCCCCCCAAACCCAAAACAAACATAGAGACAGACAGGCAGACAGAGACAGAGAAAAAGAGAGAGTCAGAGAGAAAGAGAGATAGACAGAGACAGAGAGAGAGAGACAGAGAGAGGGAGAGACAGAGAAAGAGAGAGTATGAGAAAGAGAGAGACAGACAGAGAGAAAGAGACAGAGAAAGAGAGAGGGAGACAGAGAGGGAGAGAAAGAGACAGAGAGA